AAGAATAGTTAAAGATGGATATTGTATTAGAGAACTAAAGGAAAAATCAAAGACAATGATTAACTTAAACAAAATTGTAAAGGACAATAACATTTCTTGAAAAACAAAAATCAAAGTACATTTAAGGCAATTATTTTTCCAGTGGCAAACCATGGGTGTGAATTGTGGCCAATGAAAAAGGAGAGGAAGAATATATACTGTATATCACTGCATTATGGATTTGAGGATGGTAATTAAAATATCACAGGCTGTAAGAATGAAACAACTGCTCCTGAACGGGACCAGATTGACTGTTCTCCTAAAGCTATGTTCAGCAAGCACTATGCACTACAAGCAAAAAGTCTGTTTGAAAATAATGAAAGTAGAAAGAAAAGACAAGATGGATGTTAAGGATCAAAAGATTACTGAAATATCATTTAAAAAGCTGCACGTTATCACTAGGAATAAATATATTGGACACCAATTCATACATCTACCACAGGTTAGGTCTAACTTAGTGCTAACTTATTAATTAACTTATTTGTTCGAAAAATAAAAATCTCAATTAAAAAGATTCCACACTGTTACTGGCCTAATAAAATAAATGATTAAATCATTTGAACAATGAATGGAATCGGAAATCATTTGAACAATGAATGGACTGATAGGAACAGAATTATTTTTCTGCTGAATTTCTGCTTCTCAAGTTTACTTATATCTTCTTCAGTCAGTGCTGGTTTGTCACTCACTATGTATTCCCGATCAGCTGAAAATTTGTAGAGTATATAGCAAAAATGTAATGATAGTTAATGTAATTTGTAATGATTCTTGGCACATGAGAAGGTATCATTCAAAGATTAATTTCTTTATCTCTAAATATGTTGCACAAATCTCTGTCCTGGAAGCAAGCTTTAGACAATTGCAATGATTCATAGTAGAGACTCTCAAATTTCTCTTGAATTCAGCTTAAAATCCTATGTAATAAATTCTCAGGTCTATTTCTCTTTCCTTCTTCTCCAAAAGCTATTGTTTTCTTCTCTCAGCATTGCTTTTTCCTCTCTAAAGGGTAAATCAAGTTAACCTCCAGCTAGACAAGGAACAGCAGAAACAGCTCTCCAACTTTATCAGTCAAAAACAATTTTCCCCTGCTTCACCTTCTCTATAAAATTCACAGAAGGTCTCAAGGATTCTTGAGAAACATCATTTTCCCAGCCACAGGGAATAACTCTATGTCTGTCTGCCTGCCTGCCTGCCTGCCTGCCTGCCTGCCTGTCTGTCTGTCTGTCTATCTGTCTATCTGTCTATCTGTCTATCTGTCTATCTGTCTATCTGTCTATCTGTCTATCTATCTATCTATCTATCTATCTATCTATCTATCTATCTATCTATCTATCTATCTATCAATCTATCTATCTATCTATCTATCTATCTATCTATCTATCTATCTATCTACACAGAACCATTATTCTGAAATGAAGAAATGAAGAAAGAAAAAGATAGGTTATTTTTTGGGGGGTAATGTTCATAATAGTTAGAATTAAAACTTTTTAGGAAAGGGAATGACCCTTAGACCTCATATATAAATCAATCTACAAAGTTTTCTGACCTTCTGGGTATTTTTTTACAGGTATCAATATGGATTCTTGATATCATCCATGCAGAATTGTTGAAGCCTGTACCACCATAACTATCACAGCCTTGTGCCAGATATTTGGAAAAAAGTACATGGCCATAGGTTTGGAAACAACCAGTGTTCATTCCATCACCAAAAAAGGACAACTCCAAGGATTACTCCAATTACTACACAATTCCCCTCATAATTTACACTGGCAAGATTTTCCTTAAGATCATACAGCATCTAGTGCTGTCCATCAATAAGGAATTACCAGATGTTCAACCTTGTTTCAGAAGGAGTCATGGCACTTGTGACCATATTGCATGTCTACACTGGATCATGAAACAAATATATCAAGAATATCAAAAGAACATTTACATGTGCTTTATTGACTACAATAAAGAGTGATCTAGAAAAAGGCCACTGGGCGACATTGCAGACGCAATAAGGGCAGAGAAATAACACTGTATTGCTGTTCTTACTACCATAAAAAGGCCTTAATAGCAGCTCTAAATTGTATTCATATTCCTCCAGCGGTGCTCTATATTCCCCTTGTTAGAGATACTATTTGCTTTTTGAATGATGTGCACTTTTGAGTTTTAATTTAATTAAAAATAGTTTGTCCATGTTTCAAATGATTGAATATCACTTAAAAAATTCAATAGAAATTGTGGGAAATCAGAGATACAAACTAATAGAGTTAATGTGCCAGTCATACAAACATAACTTAATTTACTCTGTTAAGCAGGGTAACAGGTTAATGAGGATAATTAATCAGATAGTTAATTAATAAAAGTTATACACAGATCCTTTCTTGTTAAGGGGAAAACATAAAATGCATGATTTTTAAAGATAATACAGGAGCACTCAAAAAGTTTAAATTATAGAAACTAACATTGTTATGTTAAGTTTCATATAGATCACTTCTATTGTATTTATAAACCTTTATTTTACATAATGTTCAATAATCTGACAAATGATACATCACTTTCAGTTTTTCTTGCAAATATATCAGTGTTTTTCAAGTGTATACCCTTTACATCTTAGTTCTGCTTAAACTTTTATTTAGCCCTATCACAAGGGTTTAACTGCAAGTTCTAGGATAGTAAATAACTTTGGTCCTCAGCACATGTGTACTTAAAAGTCAATAACACTTTCCTAGTTATACTATACTGAATGTGAAATGATAGAATAATAAAAAATACTCCAAAGGAAGTATATTATTTAGAAAAAAAGATGACAATGTCATTCACAAAAGTTATCTTACCATAATAGAATAAGTAATACAAAAGTGAGTTGTAGTGTATATTGTATCATAGGCTTACAGACCTGAAACGGATCTTATCATTTAGAGTTTCTTTGTAATGTATGTATCACCAATTCATTTTCTCTATCTACACACAAAAACTGAAGCAAAGTATATTTATAAAATTTTATTTATATTTATCTTGTGAAGATAAGAAAGAAAAACTGGCAGAAAAGAATCCATTATGCTGGGCAAAAAAGTAAATATTTAATACAACTTGTTAGATTATAAAAGAGTGTCTTTACCTTATATATTCTGGATCGGTCTGAAGTTTTTCAGAAATCGTGATTTTTTCTAATTCTAAGCAGTTTGTGAGAGATTTAGTTTCTGCTATTTCTTTTTCAAAATCTAGAAAAAAATGACAGTTTATAGTTTATAATAAACTATTATCCATTTATACTAGATACTTAAAAAACAACAATAAACTCAATAGATTTGTTCTTTGAACAGTTCCAGACCAAAGGTAGAGTACAGTCTCCACATACCAAAATTCCAAGGTGTAGGCAAGTGAGAGGGTGGTGCAGGAGGGGGACACCGGACACGTCCGTGAATGTATTGATTAGTGTTGATTCTTTTTTTGGTTGATATTGTGATAAAAGATTTATGTTTTTGTTTTTCAATGAAAAATCAATAAAAATTTATTTAAAAAAAAATAATTCCAAGGTTCAATTTGCAGTTAAACCAGATTAGGAGCAAGAAGGTTTGATCTGAAATCCTGGTCATTCCTGGCAATGAATGCAGACTCCTGAATGTAAGCATAGAAGGGAAGGGTCTGGGTCAGGAGATACAGGGACATTTTGCAGGTGTTGGATATAAATGACTCCACCTGCCTAGACTTATAACACAAATAGATAAAAGCAAGGATTTACAGCCCAAATGGGAGCAGTGGGTATCAGGCATGGGGATTTTCCTTAGATGCTTAGAATGGGTGGAGAAAGCAATAAGAAATGCTGGTCTTTGGAAGGAGGAGCCTTTTTGCTTTAAGCCCCGGAGTAGAAAGTTAAGCAGTTGCAAACAGAAGGAAACAGCAGCCAGCTAAGCATGTCCAAAGTTACCACAGTCAGAACAAATAGAGCTAAAGCAGCATCAAGGCCAGAAAAGGATTTGAATGAGCCCAAATCACCACCAGTAAAACAGCAACAGCAGCCTTTGAAGAACTTTTATATGGATTAGTAATGTAACGCCAGAATCGGTTTTTGGGCGAGGCTTAGCAAGAGGTCTGTAACTTGAGAAATGCAGTAGGTAAGGTTATCAAAAAGGCCCTATAGACCATGGGGGAAGCTACCTGGACTACTAAGAGACCTAAACCTAAACCTGGACTACTAAGAGACCTAAACTACTCTAGCTGAATCGAATATAGTAGCAGGTAATTACAGAAGAGGTCTAGGGTAGAACTCTTACTGTCAACTGCTAACTAGGTTGAACTTCCTGGGAAAGTCAGCCCAGGGGGAGGAACTTCATGAAACTTGTGATACCATTTGCCTGTGTCTTTTCTATTCACAATATACCAATTGTAGCCAGTCTTAGTATGTATAGAAAGCATAGCCAATAGCCAGGGTTGCTGGAATTTATGGTTCAGCCAGTTGAACTGGCATTAGTAGATTCCACCTGGGCAATGTAATATTGACTTATATGAATCAATAGTTTGAGCTAAAAATAAAAGAGAAGCTTTAAGAGAGGAAGCTCAGGAGATTGAGCTTATAATACACTTAATTTATAAGGTTAAAGTTAAATTAGGATGTGATTAATTCATAAAACTAATTGATAAAACACAATATATGTTAAATCTGTTGATAATAAAGAATGAAATACATTTAACAGTATGAGAGTAAAAAGCGTAAAACCAGAGCTTATTTTGTGGGTTCCGTTATAATATCTTATAGAAAAAATGAGAAGCTATGCTTCATTTTTTTAAAAAAAAGATTTCTCTTTTTAACAATAAGATTTGCTAAAATTGCCAAGAAGTGCAGGATAAGTTATTTTATTTGTTTATTTATGTCTTATTATGTAGTCATTTTAAAATAATTGTATATATGATATTTTTTGCTTTCTCATAAAATGTCTTCCAGTGAGGATAAATTTCAAACTCTATTTCTCAAATCATGCTTGAACATTAAATCAGCTGAACATCAGGTAAGCAATATACCTCTGAGTTTCCTCTGGAGAATAGATAAATCCTGCTTTAATTCATTCTTCTGTAGATGAAATATTTTTAATTGAATTGTTTCATGCTCCATTGATTCTATTTCTAAGAAAGTAATAATTTTCAAGTTAGAAATCTATTAACAATGTAATCTTTATTACAAAACTCTATGGCATGCTCTTTCTGAATATTTTGAAATAGAACTATATAAAGAAACTAATAAAATCTAGTTCTGCAAGAAACTATATACAGTATACTTCTGCATTTAATAATCACATACAGAATTATTTCCAACTGATACAATATATGCATATTTTAACTATTGCACAGGATTACATCTTATTTTATGTGTATTTTTATTGATAGTTGTACATTTATAGGAAAAAGTATATTAATTTGAAAAATGTGACTAATTGGAACCTAAATGTGAACAAAAAATAAAATATCAACAACAAAACAATAAGTGTTTAAAAGTTAATCTCCCAAATAAGAGAAAAGTAATAGAAGAAAAACACTATATATAATTTCTTTAGTAGCAATGATGCACTGCAGATGCTGTTTTAGTTAATAGTGTGTTGGAGAGCTAATAGCACAGTTTGAATCATGTGAAATACTAGTTTAACTACTGCTTTTCACTGGTTCATTTTAAAATTCACATTTTCTCATACAAGAGCTTGCAATTATACAACTTTATTTGAATAATTACCTTCATATAAAAATGATATGAAAATTAGTGTCTGCCTAGCTAAGTCATTTGATGGACACATTATGTTGTATCAAACTATTGAACACACTACCTGTGAAATTAAAGTTTGCCTCTATGCACTTTGCTTTCAGAAAGTTTTTTTAATACAAATTTTATACTTATTTTAGTAAATGTGGTAGTTTAATGTGGTTTTGTTTTATATTTTTGCTGTAAGTGTTTCTAAGCACAATAATGTCTCTTATCCCAAAGGACATAATATGGTATCCTACTCTATTGGTACTTGTTGATCAAAGCAGTATAAAGCATATGATTCAAAATTTCCTGCATTTCATGATATTATTTAAGAAAGCATTTCTCAGTTAGCAGCAGGAATGGTTTTATGACAAAATCTGTAATTCTTTCTCCTAATAATTAAAACTTTTTTTAAAAAAATGTATACTCAGTTTTGCATTTTTTCATGTTTATTATTTAATGGTTATTTTTCAGAGCAGATAACTGATATGTCTTTTCTTTGGGGTGAAGAAACTTTTTTTGGTGCTTTTGATTTTCTGTTGGGATAATTCTACAATCTAACGTCTTTATCCAACTGTCAGTCTGTAACACTATACATGCCACAAGAGAAAAATTGTCCCAACGTGGCAGTTCTTAGGAGTCACATATCCTCAATGAACTGGTAGACCTTCTGCTGCTAGATGCTGCTACTACTGTCATGAAGCTTTGTCTGCGACTGCTGCAGTTATCCTGTCAGCAATATTGTGTGTTGCAGCTGCCATCCTTGTCGTGATTAATATTCAGTGCTCATAGAGAAGGCAATGAAAGAATGTCAGTGAAGCTATCCTGAAAAATGATCAACTTGACATGAAAAATGATCAACCTGACTGCTACCTGTGCTAATTATAGCTCACACTGACTCTAACTCTAGACTTTGAGATTTGCAAATATTAAAAAAAAATACTTGTTACAAATCAACTTTTATTGTCAAAGTACAACATGTGTACAATGAGATTGGCTGAGCCTCCCTTCGTGCACCCCCCCAACACCACTCACAGTGACAGCAAACCCACCATCTTATTACACCATGTGAACTTATTGCACAATGCGCCGGCCCCGCAAGTCTATCATACATGGAGTTATTTCCCATTCAGGAGTCTGAATTTCCCATTCAGGAGTCTGGGTAGAAACTGTTCTTCAGCCTGTTGGTGCGGCTGGCTATGCTTCTATATCTCCTTACATACAACTAATATTATTTTCATATTCTAGTATTTATTAAGGATGCAGTAGGATACAATAACAAATGGAAGATTGGAAGATAAATAATAATAACTTAAATCTAGCCTCCAATATATCCTACATAAATACAATACAGTGTCAAAATCCACAGTTAGTTTTCTGCAGCAGAAAAGAAGCTTCAATACTGTATAATGTACTGTTTTTCACTTTAGGTAAATTGTTATATTAAATAAAAAATTTAAAGTCTGGAAAAAATATAAATCTATTTTGCCAGAGAGTTTTAGTACAAACATTTATATTCTCCAGTAATGTAAGATAAAATGTTTAAACTGAAGGCCTACCTTTTCTCAGAAGACTTTCCTTCTCATCTAGTTCACATATTTCAGTCTGGACTCTTTTTTTAATTACAAGTTCCCGATTTAATATTAACCCATATTCATTATTAAAAATTTTAATTTCCTTCAAAAATGTTTCATCTTCTTCAGCAATTCTTGTCTTTAGATTTTTCTTATTATGTCATAAAATTAAAAAAAAGTGTAAATGAAAAAATTAACCTTAAATTATTTTTAAATATACATTTTGATATATAGAAAATAAATATTGAGAGATATGTCAAAACACTATAACACCTACTATACTGATCTCAGAAATGGAATATAAACATAAGTGTATGCATTATAAGAGCATAATAAAAAATATTCATCTTATATTTGGAAAAATCACTTATTTTTGATTCATGGCCTAAACTGCATTTTCTCATAAATAATCTCAACTGATTTCAGTATAATTTATTTCAAAGTGTATTTCCTTATAAGAAATATATTTTATGTTTCTTAATATTACAAGAATAATAGCAATCACATTCACTGAAAACTGCCAGCGTGGAAATGCTAAGGAAATAAGTAGCATTATGTCCTTAATTGGAAACAGAATGAATTGCCTTTCTCTTAAAACAATCTATCCTTTTAAGCTCATATCATTTGAATCAAGAACTTAAATTCCTTAAGAAGAATAACATAAAGTTATTTTACCTTGGGTTCCTTCACAGACCTGCCTACCCATTTATCTACCTACCTGCTTAGCTTCAGTAACTGATAGTAGCAATTTATTAGTTACTAATAATAATATGATTCAATTAAATAATTGAATAATTAAATTTTTTATTTTTTTATTTGTGGAAATAAATTATCATCATTAATTGTAAAAATCAATTATCTTGAACTTATGGGCTAGGAACCCATTAATTGTTGCCTCATTAGAACCCCAAATCTTTGGGCTAAGTGTAATTCTAAAAAGGTTGAATAGTACATATTTAAAATGCTACCACTGGAAACATACATATGCTTCAAGATTAATATTCTTCTGATTTAGAAGATCAGCTTTTTGTTTTTCTAAACTCTCTTTCCGTTTCTTGAAAAGTTCCAAGCTAAAGAGCTTTTCAGATAGCAACTGAGCCTATAAAAACAAAACAAAACAAAAAATACTAGTTGAGAAATTAAAAACAAGTGGTATTTTTTATGGTTTCTTGTTAGACAGAGTTATACATATGAAGATCTTTGTAAGATTTTAAAAACCGATATAAACACATTTTTTAAAAATGTTATTATCTCTTAAAAGTGTGCAAAGCAATCTTAATAATATGTGGTCAAATCACCACAAGCTATATTCATTATTTCCCTACTCAAGGTAGAAATTTAGTTAGAGCTTAATGCATTCTGAATTTAACGCTGTGTGATTTAACTAAACTCAAGACTGTATTACTTATTTATTTATCTAATATGTATTGTGGTTACTACAGTTAGTCCTCGACTTACCACAATTCATTTAGTGACTGTTCAAAGTTACAACGGCACTGAAAAAAGTAACACTTACGACTGTTGCAGCGTCTCCACAGTCACATGATCAAAATTCAGATGCTTGGCAACTGACTAATATAACTAGTGCAGATTTACGTACAGGTAGCCCTTGATTTACGACCATTAATTCAGTTACTGTTTAAGGTTACAGTGGTGCTTAATGACTGGACAGGACATGTCCAGTCCCTGAAGTTATGGCTATGGCAGCACCTCTGTAGTCATGTGATCAAAATTCAGGTGCTTGCCAGCCTGTTCACACTTACGACCTTAGGAGCACCTCATCTCTCCCCCTCCCACCTACTGTATCTCACTTCCTCGTATGCCCTTTTGGCTTCCTGTACTCTGCAGCTCCTCCTGTTCTAGCTGACCTTTGCCATCTTCTTGGTCCCAGTGCTGAACATGCATGCCTGACAGGCAGTTGCTGGCTGCAAGAGGCCTTCTTCCCCAGGTTGCCCATGACAGTTTCCTTGCAAGACCTCAGGAAGATGGTCTCATGTAACCCGAAACTGCCTTGCCTGTTGAGGATATGCCTTCTCAGTGGGAGCAAGAAGATGGCAAAAGTCTGCTGGGGAAGCAATGTGTAGTATGTCAGAGGCCTTGAAGTGCAAAGTGACAAAGGTGACTATGTCTGGGACCAATCTGGGTAGCTGAGTTTTTCCAGGGCAACTGCGTCTTTTGTCATGCTGCTGGGGCAGATGGGATTTCCGGGGATTCTTGCAGGTTTTCATTGTGCTATGGCTCAGGGGCTTCTTGTAACTCTGGAGCTGTGGTGCACCAATAGGCTACTGAGTCACAGCATGGTAATCAGCCCTAAGCTATGCAATTCTGGGGCTGCTTGCCACCCTTCAGGGTACAGGGTGGCCAAAAGGGAAGAGATGGGTTGGGGAGATAGGCAGTGGGGGAGTTGAAGAGGAGAAAGTCTCTTATCTTACCAAGGCTTGGGGCTGGAAGGGACAAAGCCTGAATGGTTTAGACTGAAAACCTCTGAAATTCAGTTAACAATGGCAATGAGGAGTGCCAGGATTGCCATCACTACATGATGTGCTCATGTGATATTGCATTTTATAAGCATATCATGTGGAAATTCTGCTCCCATTTTGGTTGTAAATCAAGGTCTAATTGTTTAAATCGCATTTAAGGCTAAAATCTAGTTCAAGGACAAAATAGATTAGAAACAAGACTTTTGATCTGACATGTGTGGAAAGTCAAATATATTTACACAGACAAATTGGGCACAGTACTCCAAGGTATAATCAGGCCGCATGTAAGTAAAAAAAAAAAAATTCTCTTATTGATATTCAACCTCTGTTTTGGTCATGTAGGAGAAAAGCATCCTCCATTCTAACTGACCAAAATAAATCAAGTCTTTTTAAAAAGGTAGGGGGTCCTGCATTTAGACAACCTTTCTATTTCAGAACAACTTGAGATGCAGATCCAAGTTTTGTCTTCCAAACCTCTTGCTGCCAAACTTTCTCTCTGGTTCAATTCTCCTTACATTTGAGAGTGCTTGATTGCAAATGCCTTGGAGATAGCTCACTGTCAAGGAGAAACCAAACATTCCATCTCCCAGCCAGTACTCACTGTTAGTGAAGGACTTTGTCTCTTTGGTCATTATAGAAATGGGACATGCTGGCTAAGGAGCGACTACATTTATATTGGATTATACTGGTGAGATCAGCTGTGTCCTAGACTACTTACGCAATATATTCTTGAGAGCAGCATTTTTGAAAAGAAAGTACTGAACCTTGAAAGGTGAAATGCTATAACTCAAAGTTCTAATTACATGCTACCTAGTTTTTCACAAGAACATACCAAAAATGTATACTTCCTTGATCAAAAGCAGTTCAGCCACATGAGCTTTTTTTCTCTGTGTTTCCATATATATTTATAATGTCTTGAATGCATGAAAATTAGAAATAAAATTTGTAGAGCAATCCGGAAATGCAATTTAGAGTGGAACTGCAGTCAGCTTAATACACACTGCATTAGAAGAACACATTTTGACTTCTTTCACTATCCCAAAACTGATAAGTGGTGACAATTATAATGGTGAACTGAATTTATTTCATCCAGCAGAAGTAATGCATATTGGCTTTTCCAGGATTGTGAATGCATGCATAGACTTTTGAAAAATAAATTGAGCCAAATATATAAGTTAATGTTCATTGACCTTTACGTAATTAATTATGTGAGTTTAAAGTTATAATTGGTTTAGGAATGCTTTTCTAGTTTTCCTCATTTGTAATTCATAGTAATTGTTTCCCCACTTTCACCAACCTTCTGTATTTGCCATAGTAACCAAAACTGTAAATCAGAATGAGTCAATAGCAAATTAGTGATGTACACATGGAATTATGATTGTAATAAATTATCATATAAGCAGCAACAGAATGAATGTCATTGCCTGGCAAAAATGGCAATAGGGTTCTTGTAATTTTGCAGAAAGGACAAGGGGTTCCTGTTCTGTGACCATGGTTTACTGCTAAATGAGAGATCCTGAAAAATTCAAGAATGTTCAAACACATTATTTTCATAAACTCTGTGGATTCTGTATATTTGTATTATATCTTCTTAACTTATTTATAATCTTTAGCGTTGAACAAAAGAGATATTTTAAAAATGAGATATAGCTGGACAGTCTTCTAACTGAAAGCATTAGATTGATTTTAAATAGTTTTAGACTTAGCAACTCAATAGGCAGTTATAGGTTTTATATCTATATGATTTGTTTACTATTGAAATGAAATTACAGAGATGGAAAATTCTGAATTCTGCCTCAGACTAATCTAAAAAAACTTCCTTGAGTTCTTGCAATTGTGATTTCTCCTAATTTTTTTTCAAGGTGCTCTGAAAAGACCTGGAAAAATGATCTGCCCATTTTTATGAAGAACTCTCCAATGGAAATATATGCAATCAAAACAAATTCTAAATTTGCAAAGAACTGAAATAAGAAAAATTTGGGAGTCTTCTAATGCTTATTTCTTCTTTAAGAATTCCTGAAAGTCTTTTCTAAACATGCTTGAGAGCACTTCTTATGGTTCCTTAAATGATAACTGTGATAAGTTAAAACATAGTTTATCTTATCCTCCTCTAGAATAGCTGCAAGGATGAGATCAAAAAATTGTTTTTAGTTTCAATTATTCATATATTAGGTATTGCCAAAACATAATTAATAGATAATATTTTCTGTTATCTGGTTCATTTTTGTCAACACTTTGACTGAACTTGATGTCCAAATTTAACCACTATCAAGAAACATGACAAAATTTAATACCAAAGATAAGAGAATTTTCCTTCCTTCCTTCCTTCCTTCCTTCCTCCCTCCCTCCCTCCCTCCCTCCCTCCTTCCCTCATGTGATATTATATTCTTTCTAAATTTGACTAGGAAAATGTCCAGAATTTCACAACCTGAGCATGCAAATTGAAGGAGCTTATGTTCAGTTCATGTATATCTTCTATGCCTTTACAATAATCCTGTTGAACATTGCTAATACTATAAAACAGAGATGCTCTGCATACTAACACACATGTATCATTATTAATTCCACCTGTTTTTAATATAAATAAGTTTATATATAACAAAAAGAAAACAGTAAAAGATATCAGAGGTTAAAACATTAGTTTAAAAAAACCATTACTCTTACTTCAATTTCCAGTTTTTGTTTTTCTTCACCAAGTTGTTGTGTAATTTGATTAGCTTTTTCATGATTTTTGCTTATCTCTTGTTTTACTGCAATATAAAATTAACATTTATACATCAAACATATTGTCGGAACCATGACATTGGATATTCTTGCTTTGACACATATTTGGAAACAAACTTTCTTTTTTCATAAACATGAAATAGTTTAAAAAATCTCAAAAATATTTTATCAATGAACATTTTATGGTAGCAAATTTATTATCAATACCACGGTGAATAAGTCAGCACTAATCAGTTTTAGGAAAAATAATACAATCTTTTTTGAACCCAATAGACTGTCCTGCATTTGGAATAAGATCAATCCAGAGAATAAAAAACTACAATAATTTTGGTGAACCAGGAATCTTTGAAGACAATACTCTCTCTCTCTCTCTCTCTCTCTCCCTCTCCCCCTCTCCCTCCNCACACACACACACACACACAGACACACACACACACAAACACACCATTTTTCCAGTTCTCTAAAATCAGTTCCAAATCCCTACAGAAAGAAAATAAACACTTTACCATCTGGCAATTGAACAATACAAAGCATTGTTAGGATATCGTAATTCTTCTTGATTGCTGTGATGTTCTTTTATTCAATTAGTTAGTCTCAAAGGGACATTTAAAGTTACCATGTTGTGCCAATTTTTTTTTAAAAAATCCATGGTTTTGAAACAGCAGGGAAAGTTTGATCAGGAAAACTTGGACAAAATGAGTACCAATAATAACAGCAATAGCAACCACAGCAAGAACAAAAACTGTGCCTCCTTTGAGTAGTAACTTCTTATCATCAGATGAAGTAATCTGTGGCACTTCTATATATTGGCCTCTCTGGATTTATATTACAGGTCAGTCTGAAGCAGCAAGCCTGCTTTATGTATTTAGGCCTCTCCTCTTATAAAGATGCCTGCGTAGTATCTGTTTCTTAATCTTAATTAAATAAGGGTATGTCCTGACCTTGATGCATCAGGCACCTCTTTTCTTCAGCTTTCTGTTCTACGAGGAAGATTTGCTGGAACAAGGAGTCTAGGTTCATTTTGAGACTTTGGGGTGTGAGGAGAGGAAAAGAGTAATTGATTTGCTGTATTTTGGCTGTGGAGCTACAATACAGAAGCCTTTCCCACAGAGGTCATAGAGAGAAATCTGGACAAAACCACATCAGACTGCAGGTGTGCGTGTGACTTTAATTTTGCACTGATTAATAAACAAAGTCCGGCATCTATTAAGCTAGCATATGACAGAAGGTTAACTAACTCTGGCCTGGCTATGTAATGTACTATGGCCCAAGAACTTTTTCTGATGGGTGAGGTTTTAAGATTTCTCCCTCACCTTCAGTTTAAAGTGGTACCACCCACATGCTCATTCCCTCACAGGACTGTTTATTTGTTTAATTCACTTGTATGGCCGCCTAATTCAAGCCAAATAATTCTGAATGGCTTACAAAAGGAAAATGCAACAACATCTAACAAAACGTATAGAAAACTGTATTGCGTACATCGAAAGAGAATAATACAACAATAAAATGGTGACTCAAACAGCAGGAGCAACATTATCATCCAATTAGGGCTCTGGCACATCAGGGCCCAAAAGCGTGGAGGAAGAGCCAGGTTTAAAGGCCCACAGACTCAGAGCCATCTGTAGATAAGGAGAAAGGTCATTTCATAAGATGGGGTCATCACCAAGAAGGCTTGTCTTCTGAGTCCCACAAGAAGACCTCTTTTCAGTGAAGGGTCTTGGAGTATCCCCTCACAGTGTATGGCATCCTAGGGAGAAGGCAGTTGTACAAGGACTCAGATCTATGCCATGTAGAGTTTTAAAGGCGATAATCAGTACTTTGAGCTGCACCCAGAAACCAATTGGGAGCCAATGCAGCTTGCAGAGTAGGGGTGTCAAATGGGCCTTGTGAGAAGTGCCCATAACTACTGACAGTTTCATTTTGGACCAGCTCTAGCTTCCTGATGTTCTTTAAGGCCAGTTCCATTTAAAGTGTACTGCAAATTAGAGGCAACTGAGAAGTGAAGGACTATGAACAAGTCCTCCTAATCCAGAAACAGGTCAAGTGGCACATAAGATGAAATGTGCAAAAAGCCCCCCTCAATTCCAGTCATCTGATACTCAAGTAGGAACTGTCCACACAGAAGGTTCCCAAATTCTTCATTGAATCTGAGTGGGCAATGCTCAGAGTCAAGGATGGGAACCCTCCGATTCTGGGATCCAAGAAGCACTAAATTCAGTCATGTAGTCTTGGCAGCATTGAGCACTGTTCTTTTCCATCCAAGCCTCCCTTGCCTCCAAAAAGTCAGGGCCTGCGCTTGTTTAATTCACATTAAGATACAGATACTATGCAGGAATCTTTATAGAAGGGGAAGCCTAAATACATAAAGCAGGCTTGGTGCTTCAGACTGGCCTGTGGTATGAATGCAAGGAGGCCAAGAACATGTAGAAGCGCCACAGATTGCTTCATCTGATTGCTTCATCTGATTGTAAGAGGCTCCAGGGGACTCTAACCACAGATTACTTCATTTGATTGTTAGTGGTCAAAGAAGCCCCAATCTTTTGTTGTTGCTGTGTTTGCTATTATTGTTATTATTGTCAGGACAGAATTTTGGACTGTATTCAGGTATAGTCATATGAAAAGGTTAAGTACACCCCATTGCACTTTTAACTTTTTAAACATACAGATATTTAATCTTTATACCAATGATATTGATAAATGGGATATAATGTAACAAATATATTTTATAGACTTCAGACATTACAATTCTATAAGCAATAAACAGAATAGACTAGAACTGATAAAGTGCCTTTTTGATCTAATTTATCTTCTCCTATTCCTATATAGCTATCAGTTTTTGAATAATAATTTTGTTAAGTTCCTTTTTATAAGAATTTAACTTGCACATTGGGTCATATATAGGACGAAAATAATTTATAATATTTTTTAATCAAACGGAGCAGCTTAAGACCTTGCAGTTAAAATTTTAGATTTTAATATCTTCATATTCATTCACGATTGTAGTTTTGATTTAGAATTACCTTTTTTTCTGGCAAATTGTTTATCTTTAACAATCAATGCTAGGCACATTCTTATCACATGGAAATTATAGCTATTGAATTTGATTGAGGAATTGAGGGAAAGAAATATATTTACTTAAAAAAATAGTAATTCAAAATGTATTCAGTAATGATTGACAAAGATGAATAAGAGAAAATCTATTCTGAATGTTTTAAGAAAATAAAAATGTTAAGTGTACAACATAGACAAACACAGTCATGTAAGAACAAAAGGAAAAATGGGAAATATTAAAATTAGAATGCTACATTTAAAATTAAAGGATTAAGAAGAAAAACTAAATTTCAATATGTATTACAAATTAGGAGAGTAAACAAAAACATTTTAAAAAATGGTATTAGATAAAATAACTTAGGGAAAACAACAGGTTGCTATAAAATTAATTGTCTCACAGAAGGGGCGTTGTCTTACCTGAACGCCTTTTCTCAGCACGGAGATGGAGACTCCACCATTGGGTAGTAGACTGTATTCCTGCCCAATCAGATCAAGTCAGCCAAAGTTGCCACGCCCGTCCTGGACCGTGATCTTCAGTCTTTGACGCGAGCGTAGCCATTGACTGACAGCAAGACGTTGTGGCTCACCAAACTAAC